TGCAAGTGAATCTATTCGTCACGACCGCGAACCCGGATTCATGTCGGATTTCTTTCGCGTGTTCAACCGCATCGCTGGTCAGAAACAACGTGCCACAATGACGTATCGGCCTCAAGCCAATGGTACAGCTGAATGTATGGTCCAAACATTGACCAGGGGCGCTAAAAATGCATGTCACGGATGTGAACCAACAATATTGGTACGAATACGCTGAACGCCTGACCTTCGCCATCAATACGGCCCATGACTGAGTACGAGGTGATACCCCGCTCTATCTTATCCATGGTTGGGATCCGCGATCAACGCTGGTAGCGACCCTGCCGTTGGCATGTACTAAAATACGTGATCGGGATCTCCAGAGATGGCGCTATCACATACAGCGGCAATATCAACGAGCACGCGCTACGGTGAATGACCGGCTGAAGAGAGGCATTCAAGACCGAGCTGACCAACACAACGTTGATCAAGGTCCAAATGGAATCAGCCGCGGTAGCTATGTGTGGCTATATTTGGATCGAGTCACATGTGGCACGGCCCGTTTCGGGTGATCGAGATGTGCGGGGAACATGCAGTGCGGTTGGAGGTACAAGGGACCCCATACCGATTATTCCCACTCGACCACGTATCCAAGCTGAAGCTAGTACAAATTTTCCCTGATCGACCTGCTGCGCGTCCAGATGTGGAAGAAAGAGAGCGTGTTGATTTTGACGAAGCTCTGCTTCCAGAGGACAGCTGGGAAAACGATCTAGCCGAAGAAGAATACGAGGTGGATAGCATCCGAGATGTTAGAACAGCACGAAAGACTCCGTACGGAAGGGCACACCGACAGTTCCTGGTCCGATAGAACGGTCATGAGGATGAGACTTGGGTCGATGAAGCAAACCTCAATTGTGGTGCTTTATTGCAAGAGTTTGAACGTGATCGAGCTGGTCGAAACCGTTTTGACGTGATGCCAGTACATGAAAAAGAAATCAGATGTTAGGGTGACCAGGGACGGTAACTGTGGCCTTGTATCATGGGGACTGTATGGACTGTGAGAGAACGAGGGATGACCACGTGAATCATGAATATGAAGGAGTGACGTGGTCAACTAACATGGTGATCATACAGTGAAGATGACCAAGAGCGGTGACCGCGGCCACGAAACACTATGACCGCCTGGTCTGTGAAAGGAGGAGGAATGACTACGTAAGCTATGGATGCAAAGAAGTTGCGTGGTCAACCAAAGCGGTGTACACGGAAGCAAGAAAACATGGTGAACAGACGCAAATAGAAGTGAATTTAATAAGCAGCGACTGGTGGTCATGACTGTGAACATAAAAGTCATGGTCTCTCATGCTGGAGACGACCTTTCACTACGCTACAAACTTGGTCCGGAGACGATGGATGTACAAACCTGGGTGATCAGCAATGGCTGCCCGATATTGATTGCGCCAGGGGTCAGCGGAATCCGAAAGGAGTAAGGCTGAGGCCAGATTCGGGATGTTGGTCTGTCGACAGCCAAACCATGGATACCACCAACATTTTTCAAACCGTCCTGGAAAGTGCAGGAAGAAGGGGTTAAACAGGATGTCGAGGTCACACTGACCTCCGACCAACCCCTCCAACACGATCCGGAGTACAGCCTTCCACCGGGGGCTGGATCCGGAACGCCAACGACGCCTTTCTTCATAGAAGACGCTCAATCCAGGGTCTTTCGCGCGACTGGGACCCACGATGATCGGGAGCACATGAGAAGACTCCCAAAACGCCCGGCAATGAAGGTCTTCGAACTCACGATACGCGGTCATCAAAGCTTGGAACCAGCCAGTCGGGTGGAATGACACAGGCACAATAGGCCGATCCAAGACGTCATAAGGTTTTTGGCTGTATAAAGCAGCGATCTGGGGGTAGGTCACTAGCCTCGGGACCACTGTGCATCAGTTGGCGGACGCAGGGAACCGTCCGGAACGGGGAACAGGTAGTGCTTGGGATAGGAGCAGTGGTGGAACAAGAGATCCAAGTTTAGGTGACCTACAGAGACCAAGCCCAAGCGATGGGATGACCTCGGCGAAAACTGGTCAGAGGCATAAGTTGCACGAGTACGATACCCAGGTATTCACTTATCGCGCGAGGACCGCACGGGGGAGGTAAAGCCTTAAAGGATGTCGGGGATAAGATCTTGTTCACTGGGGCATGACCGCAGCTTGATAACCTCACCGACCCATCGGACTCGTCGTACGCCTTGGGTGGATCTGCGGTCGGAGGTGTCGCAGCGATGGGCGGCGACCGGGAGACGGCCGATGAAGTACGAGTAGCAAGTCTAGACGGAGCCGGACGAGTCGCGTATGTATGACTGGCCGGATTGATCTCGATCGGAGTGTCAGCCAACCCATCAGCAGATCTTGTGGTCGAGGCAGAAGACCGCCGTTTAACGGAAGAACGTGACCGTGAAATTGTGATGAGCATGGCCTCGTCGGCAGATTCTACGGAACCGTCGCTATCCTGTGCATGAGATGCGGGGGGGGGGACGCGCTTGTGCTTGCGCCTGTGACCGCCGAGTCATTACAGACGGTGGCGTGGTTACGGTCTTGGTCTTGGACGATTTTCTGGTTGTACATGCTGGAATCTTGGGGACGTCGAGGCGAGGGCGAGACGCCTGCCGGGACTTGGGGTGAGTGGAATCCGATCGTGAATGGGTAGTTGGGCTGGCGGGCCCTGCGACCGTAGAGGATGGGCTGGCAGACGAATCTGGTCCGACCGCAACGCGAGGATGACCGGGGGGATTTAAAGCGGATCGCTGTTGCGTCAAATGGTCTACGGGCGGTACCACGGCAGATGGGGACTCAGAAGCCGAACTCGAGGTGACGGTAACGCGCGCACGCTTGTTCGGGGGTGGTACAGGATTGGCCGCTGAATGCTGTCTCCGCTGATTATCATAGGCGAGCCCCACCGACGGCGGAAGCCCCATAACAAATTTAACCGGATGGTTGAGCTGAGCCTGGCGGTCGCGAGTAAATAGATCCCGTTATGCTCTAAACCGTGCTAGTTCCTCGATATGAGCAGCATGGGAGGAGCGCAAACGGTGAAGCTCTTGGTGGCTTAAAGCGCTCTCCGTTTTCAATTGGTCAATCTCACGACCACGTTGTGCAAAGCTGCGAGCAAGCGCATCGAACCTATCCGCAGTGGAGCAACACGCTGCTTACTTTCCGATACCGCTCGCCGTTAGTCTTTACAATCCTTAGCTAAATGGTCAACCTCGGTTGTGTTCACGTCATGCACTTGGTCACTACCCACGTCAGAATCGGCAGAAGAGGCATCGTCCGCCGGGGCGTCATTAGATCCGACCGAAAAGCCAACAGGGTCGGCAAGGTGGTCAGCCGGATCGGGTACGGCTTGGTCAGGCTTGGCAGTGTCCACGTTACGCACTTGGTCGCTACACACGTCAGCATCGGCAGGATCAGCATCGGCGGATGAGGCATCGTCCGCCGGGGCGTCATCAGATCCGACCGAAAAGCCAACAGGGTCGGCGAGGTGGGTAGCCGGAGCGGGGGTGGCTTGGTCAGGCTCGGTCGCGTCTAGTTCAAGGCCAGTGTAATCTTCGTCATCAGGAGCAGGAGTGGCCGACCGCAGCGGAGTCAGCTGAGGAGACGTCGAATCCAAAGGCAGGGGTTGTTCAACGGACGAGTGAGATGGAGGCGATATCTCCAGCAATGATCAGGGGGGGCCAGATCAAAAAGTGCTCAGCCAGATCGGCAACGGCAGCCGACTAACAGAACAGAGGACGGACGTAATAAAGTGGTCAAAGGAAATTCTGATCCATCGCCTTGATCACCTCGTAAGTGCATGTGGGACCGGTCATGACGGTCTTGAGAATAACCGCTAAGAAAATTCCCAACGATAAGCTGGACGGTTTGCAAATCATCAGTGGCGGTCACAGATTATAACCACCGGTTAGGGTCACAACGAATGTCTGACCGGTCATGGTCACTATGGGTGACTAGTGGTCATGGTCACGATAGATGACCAGTGGTCACGGTCACGACGGATGGCCAGTTGTCATGGTCACGACGGGTGACCAGTGGTCATGGTCACGATGGGTGACCAGTGGTCATGGCCACGATGGGTGATCAGTGGTCATGGTCATGATGGGTGGCCAGTGGTCATGGTCACGATAGATGATCAGTGGTCACGGTCACGATGGGTGACGAGTGGTCATGGTCACTGCAAGATGACCAGCGGTCATGTTGGCAGTTAAGGTGATTTATTCAAGCACAGGGAATGGGTGGTGGCAGGCGAACAAAGTAGCAGATTACTGAGATAAAGAGAAGTGTAAACGTAGTTCTAGCCCCTAACAGTTTGAAAACGAACAGTATTGATTTTACTACAAAAGACACGCGTCAGCATTCCTACGGGCTGGAATACCAGTGTCCACCCGACGCATACTTCTTACTATCTGCGTGTTTGCTCAAGGTTTGTCCCCTGATTGCTTGGCTAGGGACAAGTATACTCATTCAAGTTAGCCCGCGATCGGACGCGGCAAGCATATAAGGCAAGGTCTTCAAACGGCTCAAGTGATCAGAAGGACAAGGTGATCAAGTGTTCAGAAGAACAAGGGGGATCAAATATCCACATTGGGCAAGGCGACCTCAAGGAAGGTCAGGCAACTCTAGGAGAGCGCCACCAGTAATCGTTGGTCGTGTGAAGAATTACCACGCGACCACACCCCACCTATCCTCAACTCGGTCAAGACAAGACATCGACCTCAAGAAACCTAGAAGAGTGCAACCGCCCGCCGACAGGTACACAAAGTGAGAAGGAACAAGACAAGATAAGACACACGATCCGTAGTATCCCCTCCGTTAGTCGGTCGTCCGGGCGCAAGGGGGGAGTCAGGATCGCTACGTAAATGAGCGAATATCACTCCACCACATGGACGACATCTCTGGCTCTATAAGTATCTTCGCTTGATACATCTTCAACTTGCTGTTTGGTGGTCAATCTTGACACCGTTCCCTTGTCTAACTAGGTTCACGAAACTTGCGATGCTTGTCGGTACGTCTCTTGTTGTTTCGTTGTCCCTGAGCATTTAGCCGGTTGACCATCGTCGACCCCTCCTGGCGGCGTATTCCATCTTGATGCGGGTCAAGGTGCTCATCGGACGACAACGAATCAATGTTTTGAACGTGCTGAGTCACCAAGATCACCTTGTCCTTGGGAACGAACACCTTGTACCCCTTCGTCTCATCGCTTTTGCTGATGACGATGGCCGCCCCTCCGCGATCTCCGAGCGACTTGTTTCTTGCATCCACGTAAACGGTGCAGACTGATCCGAATGTCACGATGTCAGTCAACTTGGGCACCTTCTTCGTAAGGAACTCCATCGGGGATATTTCACCCGGTTTTAACTTGATCCTGCTACAATTTAGGACGTACGTCGCATACTCCGCTGCATCACCCCAGAACGTCAAGGGTAGGTTCGAGGCGAACGTCATGCATCGTACCATATTCATGATGGTTCGATGCATGCGTTCATCCTTGCCGTTGCTTGCTTATTTTCTGGCTTCTCTGACTTGACGAGAGACCCCAGTTTCCTTGCAAAACACGTCCAGATTCTTGTACTCCCCGCCTCCATTCATGCGCAGCACATGGATCTTGCAATTTAAACTCACATTCGAATTATACGAGAAATGCTTAAACTTGAGCGCAGCAACGCCCTTAGACTTGGTTAGAAAAACACGGCAGTAGTTGGACCCATGATCAATGAAGTTCGCCAGGTACAGGTTACTCAGACGGTCATGTGGGTTCATCGGTCCTTTCAGATCACTGCATATCACACCACCGATGACATCAATGGCAGAGTTAGTGCAGTGTCCATCTTCGACTGCGCTTGCTTAGTCTATTTGCCTTGAGCACACGCTAAGCAATTCATGCGTGTTGTGCTGGTCAGCTTGATGCATGACGCGGGGTCCTTGGCCATCTTGATGATCGTATCAAAACATAGATGACCGAGTCTTCGATGGAAGTGCATCAGAGTACCACACTGATCACTTGAATCGAGATCACACTCAGGTGAATTTGTCACAGCCATCATCGAATCTCGTGAAGCACTATTGACCATCTCACGAGGTCTCAATACCTTGACAACAAGCACGTTGTTTGTGCGATCAGCATCCATAATCGGCGCACCCTTTGTACCGGAGGCTAACACACGCCTCCCTCCTCATTATTCGAGTATGCATCCTTTAGCTTTGATCTTACCATAGGATATGATTTTTCGCTCGAGGTTGGCAGCATACTGGACATCGAAGAGTCTTATCGTCTTCACGACTCTGAGCGCGGCAACCTTGATGTCGACGCTCCTTTGCTTTGTGACCCGAATAACACCTCTGTCGGTGGTCGCAGTCAAGAATTCACCCCGACAGTCTTCGGGTTGATCAAGAGTCTTAGGTCGTCAACCAAGTGTCTGATAAGCCCACTGTCGAGTATCCAGTGATCCTCATGGAGATAACCACCTTTTCCGACTGCAAACGTGAAGTATGCAGTCGCATTCTTCATCCGTGGACACCTTGATCTGATGTGTTTAACTGCCCCACACATGTAGCATGCACGTTGATCGCCTTCATTAACGTTCTTCCTTGACCTTGTCGTGACCCATTTCTTCGGCTCCCTTCGTGGCTCAACTGCTTTCACCACGTCACGACCCAAGTTCTTCGCATGCCACTCAATTTCCACATGTTGTGCAAACTGAGCCAACTCTTTGGCTTGCCGTAGAGAGTCGGGTCGGTGAATGTTTAACCTCGACAACATAGTCATTCTCATGCTTGGGTCCGCGTAGCTGACGATGTTTTGAAGGACCAGGTTGTTCGCTCCTCCAGACGCATCACTCGCGGCCGTCAGGTACAATTTATGGTCCATCCAATTTCTGTGTAACGCCTTCGATGCCGTGAAGATCTTCATGCTTCGTCCAGGTGAGAGCTTGGTGTTGCAAGTCGGGAGCATCCTTTGTATGGTATGCTCCAGGGTCTGGCTTCCATACACCAAGACTCGACCTGTGGACGATAGTAGATCTGGGTCTAACCACCTGGATGCTGTCCCGGCACGTCGACTTTGATGTCCCCCGGCCATGCAAATCCGCATACACGCTCCGCGAATGCAACTTGCCGTGCGAATCCCTTTCTCCATCCGATGAACCCACTACTAAATCCCTGGTAGAGCTCTTTTACGTCGAATGGTTGGAGTGCGAGTTTTTGATCCTTCGAGTCTGGCATCCTGTAGACTTAAAAGTCTTCGTCGGCAAATAACCTGTCAGGCATGCCCACACCGGAGTATATGTCCGGGGTGTTTCTTGCCTGGAGTGTATCGGTTCCAGCATCGCACCCATCCTGGCTTCCGCGCCACCGTAGTCGCCATGATGCACGCCAACATATACGCCATGCTGCAAAATCGGTTGGAGACTTCTTTCGGGAAAGACCTCCCTCCAAAGCTTGAAGAGTCACTCCCGCTCCCAGGACCGAACCGAATAGAGACTTCAAAGGTTCCCTGACGTCCCTGCCGGATTTCTCTCTATGGGACGACCAAGCAATTCATTCTGTCGCTGACGTCCTCGAGCATCGTCATCATCTTGTCCATCGCCATCATGGGCGCTGCCGACTTCTCTTTGAGTTGTTCTCTGGCGTCTTTATTTAAGAGGTCGGTAGTCTTGGATGGTTTGGCCTGTGCAGTCGCTTCGGCCTCGGGCTTTATCTTTGGGCTCATAACCAGTAGGAAAATCTGGGTGTGGTTGATCTTATGCACTTGTGTGCGAAGAGGTAGAAGTAAAAGTGAATTTATTAAAGTGTTAACTTCGTGCGCATCACAGTATAAGATAACGTGCACTGCAACTTGACCATGACATGATTGCGTCCGTCTGTCCTCTCTCTTGCAAGCTGTCGCCACGTCGTCCAACGATCATATCGCTACCTCGTCCCACCACCTGGTCCCTTACCATCCTGTTACGACACCTGTTACTGTCGCCGCCTCGTCGCACCATCTGTGACCTTCGTAGCCTCGTCTTACCATCTGTCAAGATGTTTGTGAGCTCGACCAATCCGGTGTCACCGTCACATGTTATATCCGTTGAACCTGTAACATAACGATGACTAAACAAGACGATTCAAAACAGGCATTTCTAACATTTTGCGCAACAAAAAAAACCTGCAAGCACGATCTGTAATAACATTCACTTGTTGAAAAGAGGAGGTACGAATAGAAGCTCTTGCCCTCACTACCACGTTCACTGTAGCATCTCAGAGCAACGATTCTATAGACCGTATGCTGCAGAATCACGTCGTTATCTACACAAAGTTGTGTCATTTCAAGAATTGTAGTTTGGGCTATTGCTATGCAGTGAAATTCTCACTTATTAGCTCATTCTTGGGCGGATTAAGAGGAAGTCACGTGTGCTGGCATCAGTTGTATAAAATGCACAATTGAGGAGGAATAATGTTTCCGTGGGTTCCAAACTAGTGTGAGCAAGAGAGATGAGGTTCTCTTAGTAATGACAGTCATATGGATGGATATCCGACGTCCTATCCGCATTGACCGTGAAGGCATCACAATAAACCCTTGCCTAAGTAAAATAAAAAAGTAAAGTGTTTTAAACCAAAAAAAATTCGAAATTTATATTTATTTAGGAATTAAATTAACATTAACCTTGTGTACCTTGAGATCCTTCATCTGCTTTTTACACAATTTTCTTTTTTAGTTAATGTTGTAAATAAGTTTAGATCATTTCAGCGTTGTACAACATTATCCTAAATGAGGATAAAGAAGCAAGCTCTGGAGCTTGCCCTTTAGTACAAGAAATCCAGTTTGGAGAATTGAATCAACTTGCAAAACACGATACAACAGCAATTACTGTACATTGAATATAGTGAGGTTAATGTCTGTAATAATCCAGTACATCATAGTAGGGAAACGTGATCGGCCTTGTCCATAAGCGTCTAGCATTTGCTCATGTGATTAAATTCGTCTTTGAATGATTTTAAGCCAATCAGTTGCGTGCATTACACTATCGACCTAGCCATAGAGTGACTTAAATATGAACATGCACAAATAAGGGGGGCGATTTATGTCGTATTTGTTACGAATCCAGTACACCTAACTGTTTCATTTACAGATTAAGCCCCACACTGGACACACACAGATTAGTACGATTTAAGGGTCAAAAATCAACCTTGCGCACACTCACCAATAGCTCCACCCTTCGGGCTCGCAATTAGTTCCGTCAATGTTGAAAACATCTCTATGCCCATAGCGAGCAATCGCGGCCAGAAGTTCAGGCAATGCTGCATCCATGGCTTCCTCATTTGCTGAACCACTTTTAATTAAATTCCTGCTGCTGTGCATCTTGTTGCGATTATGTTGGCGTTGCGACTCCCCACGGGAGAACTCAATGGTGTCTCAAGGGGTCTAAGGCGTTTAAAAAATAGCAAAGCCTTGACCTATAAGTTTTCCCCAATTGGGTATATATTCCTCGCTAGGCACTAAAGCACCCAGTTTACAGGTCTTCTTCTGTTTTTTATGATGAGCGACTGTCGGGCGTTCGGCAGAAGGTTCGTTATCCGTATTACATTTGAGATAAGTGCGGTTCTTAATTAATACAGATGTGTCGTTCTGGGTGATGTGGACTCCAAGGTTGCTGGAAGCCCATCATGCCAGCACGTTCTGGCTCATTCCTATATTCTAGGCCTCGTGTTGACAAATTCCGAGCCCTTGTGCATTGGTGACAGTACTCGGGATATGTTAATATGAAATTTAGAAGTGAAAACTGCTAATTTACTGCTTCTTTTCTTGTTCGACGAAAAAATTGAAAATCTGGAAATTAGAAAATTAGAAATTAGCGCAACTCATAACTCGGCTAATATATAGATTTTATCTCCACCAAGCCTACGAGTAATCCGAGGAACGACTGTAGTACAATCCTGCTCGTTTCAGTGCGTGTAGTTACAGAGACTGTGCAATGTGGAACTAATACAGGAAAAATAAGCTCTAATGTAAAGGTGCGATTGTATACGATGTCCGACTACATTCTAGTGTGAGATCGGATGTGACGAGCTGTGCATAAGCAACTACCGCGCATTTATGAGAACCATACTGTCGATTGATCCTTACAAATTGCAAGATTATTGTAAAATACCATAAGTATGTCAAGGTATCCTGGGGATGACTTCTGTCATCTAGAGAGGCTGTCATCAATTGTCGGCTGATGGACGACAGTGTCCTGGAACTTTTCAGCTGCTTGGTGGAAGAAGGAATATCGATACCATCTCTTCCCTGTTGTCTCTCCTTAATCGTCACTGCATTAAGGTGACGCAGTAGAAGGTGCTGTGCTTCTGCGACTGTCTTCTTGGGTCTCAGTCTCGTGTTCCTGCGTGAAGAAACTATGATCCGTTGATTCTAGAGCGTAGTGACACATACCGAGCAAGCAATCCAACAGATCCATTTTCAGGCTCGTTCGACGGTGTCTGGGGCATCGTAAAACCTTCGCGCGATGTCTTCACCTGCAAAGGTAGGACCACAACCTTTTGAGATAGTGCAGCCTGTCTGTGCTGACTAAGGTGATCGACTGTTACCAAAGTGCGCGTCCACTGAGCTATTACGTACGTCCAACAGATACTCTCCCTCATTCACAGAGAATATATAAAAGGTCGTCGTGCTGCCCTCTATAGGTGATATGTTGCTTGCACGTGTAATCGAGATCGCGGTCCTGAAAATATAGATTTTACTGATGGGTAGCGATCCGGTAACACACCTACACTTGTTAACT